CAGTTGATTGCTCTGATTAAATCCTGGAATTATGCAGTGTTGGCACACTCTGCGTACACGCATTCCCACATGCTGGCTTTTTTTCTTTACCACACAACTGTGAGATGCTCATTTTAAATCCGTTATCATGGTGGATAGCAATTGTAGGTTTGACTTAAAAAAACTCTCATAAATATGACGTGGCTCTCAGCCATTTTTTTCCGTGATGCATGAATGCGTTCAGCATTTGCGTCCCCCATCTTCACAGACCTTGAGTTGCATCAGGTATTCTTAAGATGACCATTGCAATGTGGAAATGTATGTATGCAATCAATACATTCTTTACTTTACTAATTGTTACTATTCAAGTTTTGTAAGCTTCATATTTTTAATAGCTTAATCTTATAATGCTCGCATAAGTGCATATTTTCGACCTGCTCTACCCACTGCTGGATGAAGGCCTCTGCACATCATCAGCACTCCCTATGCTCCTGTGATCCCACAATCCATCTCGATTCTGCACATGAGCTAATCCCATTGCTCCCCTGGTTGTCACTTGTCACCAGTCTCATCCGTCGGCCATCACACCTTCTGGCAATGTGTCCGACCAAAGCTCACTTAATTTTTTTTACAATTGACATGTCTCTCTCCATGCATGTGTCATATTAGTCTGTCAAAGCAGGTAATATTAATTGATTGAAAACTTTCCTCCTTAGGCATATATTTTTCATTGCTTTTGTAATACCTGTGTTATCCAGCCAGTTCGGATTGTGATTTGTCAGTCGAATCACAGTTTGAGGAAGCCATGTTCAATTCCCATTGTAAATGAGCGTCATTTTGTGGGAAGTTGGCAGTAGTTGTGCGTTAGGACAGTGGCCCCTGTCATCAACATCACAAGCCATAGTCAATTCACGGCTGAATGAAGGCCTCTCCCCAAGCTTTCGCCACCTCTCACGATCCTGCAGTGCAATCATAAATGTCTGACCTGTACATGTGTAGTAGTCGGAGGCACACTTATTTATTAAACGTTCCACTATATACAGGCCAAGGTATACAACACTCGAAGGGGTACGGCCCCTTCACCCGTCTAACAGGGAGACCCCACAATCTCTATCCCGGCTAGCCTATTCCCAGGTCCTCCACTACAGAGCTAGGGGAGGCTAGTGGACCCAGCTCTGGCCAAGCTGGGATTACGGCACCCTGAGTCCCCAGACCGGCTCTTACAAGAACATCGGCTCTGGGCTCTCGGGGCCACGCCACTGGCTTGCCCTGGTCGGTCCTTAGAAGGACGGCGATCCAGGGGAGTCCCAGGGGCTATCTAGCCGGTCTTCCTTCTTTGCTGGTTTAAGCTAAACACTGAACCCCAGCCCACCGGCTCACCGCCTTATATAGCAACTCCCCCACCGAGGGGTGGGCCGTGGGGGATCACAGCGCCGTTTTAGCCCCCCAGGTTAAACGGTGCGGACGTGGATGTAAGCACCCTTCCGCGTGCGGGCATAACCACCCTGGTGTGTTTGTTCGCCCTCCCGTAACACCTCTACACATGAACTAACTTCATCGCTCTATCTTCTCCTCAAGCATGTCCTCTTGGATCCATTTTATCCTTCATAGCTCATCGGATTCCTCCAGTGTAAATAAAGATACTGATTCCTTGGCTGCTACTGTTATTGGTGTCTATTGGCAATCATCATTTCTGGCGACATCTCTCTGCCAAATTACTTTCACTTAATCAGAATCAGAAAGGGTTTTATTCGCCATGAAAGTTCGCACAGACAAGGATTTTACTTTGGCCGGAAGGTGCATACATTCTACGTATAGGAATCTTAAATCTTAAATAAGTGGTTTACAAGTCTAACTATACTAAAGGTACAAGTCTAACTAATACTAAGGAGCTAAAGTATGTAAAAATTGAATAAAATAAAATCTAAAATATACAATAGCTATATATACAATATAAAATTACAAAAATGCAAATAGGGTAACATAGTGCAAATATGGCAGGGTGTCATTGTGCAGATATTGTGTTAAATCAGTTTGAGCGTTAAAGTCAGTTTGAGCCCCTGGCCTTGTTGAAGAGGCCAGCAGCGGATGGGAAGAAACTGTTTTTGTGGCGTGAGGTTTTGGTCCTGATGGACCACAGCCTTCTGCCGGAGGGGAGTAGCTGGAACAGAGAGTGTCCAGGGTGGGAGGAGTCGGCCACAATCTTCCTCGCTCGCCTCAGGGTCCTCGAGGTGTACAGGTCCTCGAGGGTAGGCAGATTGCAGCCAATCACCTTCTCAGCAGTGCGGATGATACGCTGCAGTCTGCTCTTGTCCTTTGCAGTGGTAGCAGCGTACCAGATGGTGATGGAGGAGGTGAGGATGGACTCAATGATGGTTGTGTAGAAGTGCACCATCATTGTCTTTGGCAGGTCGAATTTCTTCAGCTGCCGTAGGAAGTACATCCTCTGTTGTTTTTCTCTTTATGAGGGAGCTGATGTTCAGTTCCCACTTGAGGTCCTGGGAGGGATAGTGCCCAGGAAGCGGAAGGACTCCACAGTGTTGACTGGGGAGTCGTACACAATTAAATTAGCTTCTCAAATTCTAGTGTCTACACATGCACATGTACTGGTGTTGTCTTGCACTTAAATGAATGTGCATCACTTACCTGGCCTCCAGCAAAAATAACCGGATTGTTGGTGGTGGATGTTTTGGGGCGGTAAGGGATCGTGGCACCCTTCGGAGGAGACTGAAAGATGAGCACAGCAAAGTGCATCATCAGTAGCTGACCATGACATGAACTTGCATGTGAAAAGAGCATCACAAACGAATATGAATACAATACCAAACAAGCAAAACATAATGCAATACAATCAAAAAGGAAATGATGCGTCCTTAGAAATACTTTCCAAACTACCTTTGGTTCAACAACATAACAGACTAATATGGAAACACAGACAGCATATTATAATTATTTTACTGCCCTTATTTACCATTGAAAAATATATAATTTAAACAAACCTTCAGCATTTGCCAAATTACGCAAATAATCATATCAAGCACACACTGTAGTAGCGATGTAAAAACTGACCTCCAGCATAACAAGGCAGATCTGCCTCATGCACTGCACGATGGCATCTGGTGTGCCAGAGATGGTCACGGCCGCTCGGTAGAATTTGGCAGCAAATCTCCAGCCACCTGCACTTGGGCACCTGTTGACTGTAGAGAAATTCCAGACGACCACCATTTAATAAGGGGCACAAAACAACATTTACGATCGAATCATCGGGAATACTAAGCAGGGTTGAGAATATACAGTGCTCGGCCCAGCATGCACGCCAGGCTGCCATAGGCGGTAGCAGGACACCACGGTGGTCAGTAGAGGGCAGTGCAGCAAAATCCGCTTTTGTTCTGTGCGTCTACACTGTGGTAAAGTATGGTCAAATAATCCCCACAACCCACACAGTGCGATGAGGCCTAATCAGCAGTGGCTTCAACAGAGGGCGATACAAGAAACACACTTGGATATTGTAAAGGCCATTCATATTGTTATTATCTGACCAATTACTAATCATAGAATATATAATGGCATTCTAGACTGATTTTTTTTACATTTGCAAATAAACTGTTTTCATTCATGCTCTAGAAATGTGACAGGAGCAGCACTGGCATAAAGAGGTGTATGGAGTGACATTGGAGTGAAATTACTCGCGCATCAAAGACGCAGTACAAGACTTGTTTTACGTACATTTAGAAAATGGTTTTAGCCCAATTACTACTATAATAGGCCAAAAATGTGTGTAACGAGCGTGACGTCACTCCACATACCCCCCCCCCCCGTCATTAATAATAAAATAATCATGAACGGGTGGATTTTTACACTGACGCAAAGTCGCTTCAAATATGAGGTTTCTTTACAGAAAGTCAAAAATAAATCTACGCAGCAGTGCTATATCTGTACGTGACGTCACTGCAAAACTGCAAAAGAGACCCCCCCCCATTAATAATCATGAGCGAGTGGATTTTTACTCCCGCAGGTCGATTAGAAAGACATTTTTTTACGCAAATTCGCTTTAAATTTGACGTTTCTTTATTGAAATGTAATCAAATCAATATTTCTACGCAGCAACAAAGTGTATTTGGTGTCTTTATTTATTTCTTCAGCACCTGAAACAAAAGGCAAGTCTAATTTTTGCTTCTAAATTATGATAAAAGTAGCCTATAGCCCATTCAAGGACGGGTGTATGGCAGTTAATCTGAAATATTTAATCGAAAATAATGACCCGCTCATGATTATTAATGAAGGGGTGAGGCCGGGGATCCACACGAGTGACATCATCATACCATGATTATTCATGAGGGGGGGAGCTCCACGTCGAGTGACATCATCCGCTCATGATTATTAACGAGGGAGTTTGTCCCGCGCGTGACGTCACTCCACATGCCGCACCCCCGTCATTAAGGTCGAGCGGAAATAAAAATTTTATTCGCAAATTCGCTTTAAGTTTCACGTTTCTTTATTGAAAGTGAATCTAATAAATAATTCTACGCAGCAACAAAGTGGATTTGGGGTTTTTATTTTTTTCTACATTTTGGTTAAAAAGACATTTCTCGGTGATTTTCCAGATATTGTATTGCCATCCAATTTATTTGAACCCCAGCGACCGAAAGCAGAAGAGAATAAAGTATCGGAGCAGTGAATTTGAACAAATTGAAGGTCGGTTATATACAGTGCTACAGTGAAATGCCGTGAAGTGTTTTATGACATACTTTCATGCAAGATTCACTGCCATTCAATTTACACAAGATACAATTATACTCTGCTCATTTTTTTCGTAAATATTACAGATCCGTCCTAGGACGGGCAAAGAAGCTAGTAAATAACATAATAACAAACCCATATCTACACGATAAATGCTTAGCCTACTTGGTGGCATCTAGGTAGAGATTTCCATTTCAGATTAGTCAGCATTGTGATTGTAAATAATCATAAATACAAGTGAAAATACAATGGAAGACATACGTCCCTTGATATTAGGAATGGATGCATTCCTATGGGGACCTCATTTGCCAGTAAAAATATGATAATTGGTTCTTTACCCTTCTATCTGGCAACAAAACTGACACCTTTTGTAAGGAGTCATGTTTGCATAGACCGCAATACCTGCAGTCATAATACAAACAAAAGAACATAACTCTGATAATGTGCACTGTCCCTGAAGTTGATTGGTCCACACCCGAGACAGCTTTCCTTCGAGCCTAGTCTCATATGGGTTGGACCAGATGACGCCAAAAGGCGCACAACTTTTGGCGTCATCTGGTCCAACCCATATGAGACTAGGCTCGAAGGAAAGCTGTCTCGGGTGTGGACCAATCAACTTCAGGGACAGTGCACATTATCAGAGTTATGTTCTTTTGTTTGTATTATGACTGCAGGTATTGCGGTCTATGCAAACATGACTCCTTACAAAAGGTGTCAGTTTTGTTGCCAGATAGAAGGGTAAAGAACCAATTATCGGATGCATTCCTGTAAAGTTGTCCGTAATGCAGAATGCTGTATATCGAACAGTATTTTACCAATCACTTCCATTATATTTCGATTTAAAGCTTTCGTGACTGCAGGGATTCATCTTCTTGGTTCTTTCGGTAAAGTCACGTAGAAGGGAAGTAATAAAATAATAAAAATAAAACATAATAAAATAAAATAATTCTCACGACGTTTCGGCTACAACGCAAGCAGCCGTCTTCACCTGAAGACGGCTGCTTGCGTTGTAGCCGAAACGTCGTGAGAATTATTTTATTTTATTATGTTTTATTTTTATTATTTTATTACTTCCCTTCTACGTGACTTTACCGAAAGAACCAAGAAGACACTTCCATTATGTAGAGTATTGTGAGTAACCAATGAGAAGGGGAACAGAAGGAGGTGCGAGTGGGTTGACAGTCAAGCCACTCGCAACGTCACGGGTTGTGTAAGGGGCTTCGGAGAGCACCCTTCGGGAACAAAGGCGGGGCCGAGCTGGGGGCAGGAGCCGCCCAAGGAGTTCTTAAGGGGTACCCCGTGACGAAGGTGGGGTTGTCATGGGGAGCCAGGGTAAGGATCGGATGAAGAGGGTCTCTCTCTCCTTGTCGCGGAGCGGTGTTGGCTGATCCCCCGCTCCGGGCAGACCAGTGGGAGAGCCCAAAGGGTAGCCGAGGGTAGGACCCAAATACTATTCAGTGTCCGGGGTAAAGGACCGAGACAGAGTGCACCTACACTGGTGTGAGCGTAGGATGTCGAGTGTGAGAGTGTTTTAATAAACGGCAAAGCCCTTATAGTATTCCTCGTCTCCGCGTGAGTCTACTGCACAGCAATTATATCAGTGGAGATGCATTCATAAGGAATAAATTTCGGCTCCAAGACGTAATAAAATCATTCATAATAATGCAGAAGACCTTTTTAAAGCATATTTAATGGTAAATGTTGGAACAAAAATCTATTCTCAAAATAAGTCGAAAAATTAAACCTGTACATTACTTACCAGAAACTATGGTGAAATGTGCTCTAAGACAAATGACAGACGATGCATTGTTAGATTCCCCCCCCCAAAAATGCAGCAAACACAATGATGTTTGTATTTCCACATTGCATACACGAGGGAACCCTCCTCACCTCTCGCAGCTCCTTGATCTTGTTCCCGCTCTTGCCAATGAGAGAGCCGCACTGGCTGGCCGGCACCACGAGGCGCAAGGTGACCGGTGGGCGGTTCATCACCACGCTGTTTGCCATCGTGCTGATCATGTCCTGCTCCATGTACACATACGCACCAAGCGCACGTTGTTATTATTGTCGTAATTATTGCGAGTGTTTACCCAGAAAAGCCTCACCAAGTCTCAACTATTTTCAGGAGGGTCCTGCAAAATTTTTCGCAGTCGGAGGCAACAATTGCTATTTCCCAATAAAGTAATTATCTTGAAAGATATAAAACGTGGCATATTTTACAAATATTTCATGTAAATAACATTTTCATGCTAATAAAGCAACTTATTGAAGGCCCTAAGAGTCGTGGGAGAGGTTTCAAGCTGCCCTACCCAGGTTCCTCATTACCATGTCATGGCTGACTGTAGCCACTCTGTTTCAGGAATTAGGCCCACATAAAACATCTATTTTGATCAACAATTTAACGTTAAAACTTTGGTCATTTTAAGGGTTTGTAAAAATACATTCTTGATTATATGTCAAACCCACAAAGGGAATTAATGCTCTTTAATACAAATATTTACGCTTAAGCTGCAACTTTCCTAAATGTGTGAATTCAGAAGCTTACTTTCATGTGTTAAACATTGTCATATCACGGCCTTAAAACAGATCAACAGAAAGTATTTCTGTAGCGGTCATACCTCCTCCAGCTTGTGGGTCATCATTGTGAAAGCACGGAAAATAGCCTCGGTGGGACCAGTGACCGTGACAATGCGCTCAGGACAGTTCCCATCCGAGATGTTAATACGAGACCCGCTCTGCAAGTAGAAACACACTGCAAATCAGCCCCCACCCTACAGGATCGCACACTTCTGCTGCATCGATACACACTTTGTGTTGGTATGAACAGAGAAACATTACCTCATCACGGATTCTCTTCACAAAATCCCCTTTCTGTGAAGTGAATGAACAAGAGTTCACATAATCAGGTACATGTGCAGGTTATAGTGAATAACTAATTTAATCTGTAACCATATTAAACATTAATTATATTGGTGAGGACCAGAAACACAATAATTGCTGTTATCCATGAATGTACAAAGAGATGTAAATATGACCGCCACACAACAAGACAGCTGCTCAAGGCAACTTGGGAGATACCCTTGGGATACCAAATTAATCCTAATCTTGGTGCTTCTTTGACTTGGTACATGCTTTGTACTCACATCACCTGCTATATGCAACATATCTAAACCTTGTAATTGTAACTGTATGCAGTGCAATTAAGAGAGCTGTACATGTTATGTTCTAAGATATATCCAAGCTAGATAATGATGAACTGAAGGTATGTGAAAACATCTTAAAAGCAATGTGAAACCCACCTTGCCTATGATGCTTCCCACTTCCTGTAAATAAAAGAAAAATATATAAATCAGTTCAGAGGCATATAAAAGTAGTGCTGTTACTGTAGACAACACTGATACAAATTACAACTAAGAATCTCGTGAGTGGGCATGTATGCTGAACTTCTTTCACACTGTATGCAGCCAACCGTGCTAATCGTAGGTTCAGGACAAATGCACAACTGTATGTATTCATGAAATAAAGACTGTATTTTACACAATAAATGAGCAGAGAATATATCTCCTTAAAATATGTTCCTCCACATGAAAAAGATTACACTTCCATTCAACTACAAAGCCTTAATTCGAGTGCATAATTTCAGAAGCCTCTAACATCGGGAAGTTAATCAGCACTGGTGCAAGCAAGCCGGAATGCTGATGAGGCAATGTGTGACAAAACCAGTCCAGAGTTTCTTGCATTGACCCAATGCTGCTGAAATGATGCACTCCAGAAAGCCTTGTGGTTGACAGGAAATGTAAACATTTATTTTATTCCTTTATATGGATGGACAGGTGTGTGGAGGGAGAGTCCTGTGAACAACGTCCCACAGCCTTGCGGGCCGCCTGCTAGAAACAATTTAAATTGGATGCCAAGTCAATTTGTGAGGTGATGCCTGATGCTTTCTTTACCTTGCTGTGCATGAGAAGACGAATTGTAAGCGTCACATTAAGTCCACCCTCGGCTTGGCCACCGAGATGACTCATCTTGTTTCACCACACTCTGCAGGGTTACACCTGGTGGAACAAGCACAGTAAATAGTATTTGGGTCTTTCGGTAAAGTCACGTAGATAGGTTCAAAGAAAATAACAAAAAACTATGACGTTTCGATCGCAACACACAAGCGGTCGTCATCAGTCAAGATTTAAACAGTAAATTTCAGCTTGGAATTCACTGTTACCAGAAGGTTAAAGATTTCAACTTGTTTTTGTGCCTGGAATTATTATAATGCATCATTCACTAACTGCTATGTCATATGAATCGGAAACATGAACATTAACGAAGACAATAGAAGGCGTACAAAGTGGATAAGTGTTCAAAGACGCACAGAGGTGTACACTTGGAATTTGAGAGATATAAAGAGGAACAAATGGATCAGTCGACAAACACAAAGAGATCGTGTTCATCTTTATCCAGCACTGGATAGACCATAGCTGATAATAATGATTAATGACTTGGGCATATCCCAGTCTCACCCAGATTCCATTACCAAGAAAGGTGCGGACAACCAGACAGCGAAGGGGAGGCAAGCATGGGCTTGGGGATCAGTGGGGCTCAAATGCCCTTTGTTAACCTTGTGTAGGAAATTATAGATGTGCTTATATCAGAATTGAATATCAGAATTGGAGTGATGTAGGGCGGCAGAGTGGGTCAGTGGTACACTTATGCCGCACATATTGTGCTGGGTTCGA